ATTACTGATCATAGATCTAACCATGTTAAGTGGAATTCTGTTATTCCTATTTGACACCTAAATTAATTTAGCGTCAATTGCGGAAAACTGGTACGCAACACCCTCATTGATCATATAGTCTTTGCACTATCCCAAGAAATACTCAAATACTCGATCAGATCGAAGTGTCTTGATAAGGTTACCTAATCTGTGCTCCACATCAGTCTTGACCCTCTCGGAATATACCAAAAGTATAAGACTTGTGTCGCAACAGGTAAATTTATCCAAAACGTGAGTAATCTTGATTGGATGTTCATAAGACTACACGTGTACGTGTGTACCGACTCAAATTGTCCTTTATGTCTATTTCATCTGGCTGATTAAGCCCTAAGAGTTATCTATCCTTCAAAACAGGGTTCACAAGTTTGGTTTAGACTCCACTGCCTCACTAGGTAATTAACCTTCTTTGACCAATCTTTGAATCTTATTTTAATTGATAACAACCCAAAAATAGACATTAAAAATACAATGAGTCAGGAATAACAAATTTTCTCTTAACATTCAATCTAGAAGATGCAACATTAGTTTCTACATCCTGCAAATCTTAAGAGCTTGTGATTATAGTATATTAACCATCTTTCAATGCACCAGAAGCAATCGCATATCTATTCAATTTTATAAAACCAGTTTTACAAAATAACGATCTAGTTTTTATAAGCCAAAAGTGAAATAAGAATGAGATTGTGTTTCACTTCTGTGCATAAAGATAGTTCTCTAATACTAATATCCTCATACTCTCTAATTTCAGATGTAATACTCCCACTGACTTAACTACAACCTTGGCATCAGGTCAAAAGATAAATATATATCCATATCATCAAGGCTTCTGGATTCCTGAAATCCTTACAATAAATTGCAAACATGTTTAGTGGCTCCAGAATCTATCCATCAGGAATCAATAGATACAACCACATAACATGGCTCAATGATTAAATATATATTTTCCTATGCCACGTCATTGCTTAGACAGTTTGTCCTTTAGTGTCTTAGTTAACGGCAAAAGAAACAGTTTCATTCGCCCTCAACATACACTGCCTTATTCCCTTTAACCTTTTAGATACCTATGTTTTGTGCTAGCCTAATCATATTATCATCCTTCTTCTTTGCTTTGCCCGTCCACTTGGGCCTAGAAGAAGATGGTATAGACTAGGTTAGATTGATAGGAACGCCCATACTTTTGATTATCCCTTCATCTGTTACCAATTCTATAAGAATATCAGCCAGTGTGAACTCAAACTAATTCCTTATTTAGTTCACTCTAACAGAGTCGAATGAATTTGGTAACAAGGCAATAATCATGTCAACTTGAAACTTAGCACCCAAGTCAGCCCTATTGATCTCCAGCTAATTTTTAAATAATAAACAATCATTTTTCAAAATTCGATTTCATACTGGAGTTCCTTAGGCTATCTTGATGCTATTCAAGTCTGACATAGTACTTTGGCATACTCTCTATCTAATCTCACCAAAACATCTTATTAAATTTTAACATGATGCTTGAAGAAAATAAAATAATGTAAATGTTAGCTTTGGAGCGTATTCGAGGTAAACTCTAGAATATTGCACCAATTCATCTCATTTGCCTTATTTCACTTGTTCAAAGCATTAATGTTCTATTGGGTATCTTAAAGTAAAAGGATTAGGTTTTAGGAGTAGTAAATACATTTGTACCACCACGTTGTGAATAAAATATCTAATTTCCTTTTCTAGTCATTATAAATGAGGTCCAATATCATAAAATATGTAAGCAAGCAGATAAATGGATTAGACATAATTCATCTGAATATAAATGCATTCATACAATATGCAAGGTGAATTATTAATTCTGTCATGCATATTTAAAATTAAAATGAGTTTGTTAACCACATAATATAATAAATTTCAATCGAACAAGAGATCATTATCATTATTGGTGAACAATCCCTTTTAATTAATGCGGGTCCCTCAACTCTGTAGCATAATAAATCAACCAATCAATATGTCAATAACTTATCCCGTTGGAGGAGTTCATTATTACTATTGTTGAGATTCATTTACTATTAGGTGAGCACTTCCATTAAAATAATAATATGTGGGTCCCTTAACCACTGCATGAAAAATCGAATAACCAATACGCCAATAACTTATTCGGTTGGCGAAGTTCATTATTGCTATTGGCGGGCAAATCCCATCATTTCCATATCTCTTAAGACAATGCCTTGCCTTTCTAAAATCACCTAGTATAGACCACTTCGTTGGGAAGCTAACACTATTGATTTTAGATTGAGTGTATAACGTTATTAAAACTCTAACGAAAAATTAAACATTAAATATGTTGTCATTATAATCTAGACTCTTTAAATCATGCGTAGGGCCTTATTTTTAAAGATCTAATTACAATGAACATTTAATATTTGTATTTTCATGAGATAACCATTCTTGTAATATTAAGACTCTTCAAATCATGCGTGGGGCCTTATTTTTGAAGATCTAATTACAATGGTGTTAATAACAAAGGCCATGGGGCAATGTATAAAAATCCCCGCTCCCACTCAATTTTTAATCATTCATAATTAGGGTTTTCATTTTATTCATTTACATGATATAATGCATGCAAAACGTCTTGATTTTAATCCAATTAAATTTAGAAAATATTTGGACTTTAAACGATTCACTAATATTTAATTTGAAGCACACTTTAAAAATAATTTACAAAAACAATTTTTCGTTTCCCAATAAGTGCCCTCAAATTAATTAGTAATCTAATCCAATTAATTTTCATAATTTAATTAATATAAATCAAGCCATTTAAATAAATATCATGGATCCAATGCATGAACAATAATAATTAGCAATTAATTATTTCATGCATCACATACAACAATAAATGACAGATAAAGCAAATTAAATGGCCAATGGATTCAGCTTTTAACATTTAATTGCTCTAATCACTGCGCGAAGATCTTCCATCAGCTTGCAAACACCCACATAAGGTTGGTACGCACCAGGAGAAACAAAACAGCCCTTGGAACGCGCCTGGAGGGCCCCACACGCGCTCACACGCGCCTGGGGCATGCTGCAGGTCTTTGCACGCGCTCCCACGCGTCCCCACGGGCCGACACGCGCTTGGGGCGCATGGGACGCGCTCTCACGCGCTCCCACGCGCCTGGGCGAGTGGGACGCGCCTCCACGTGCCTTCACGCGCGTGGAGGACAAAACCTCCATGGCTGGCGCGTGAGATCCACGCGCCAGCTTGCCCATTGATTAGTCCATTCCTGGCGCGTGTGGAACACGCGCCAGGCTCACCTAACCGCTGCCACACCTGATCCGGGCCACCTCCGACGCCTCTTCTTGCCGCCGGCGAAGCTCCGGCCACCGGAAAAACGCCGGAAAAATTCCAAAAAATCCGGAAAAATCCCAGAAAATTAAATTAAGCTTCAAAAAATTCCAGAAGAATTCCAAAAAATTCGGAAAAATTCCAGAAAATTACTGAAGCATAATTTAACCCTTTTGGACCTTCTTGAAGCTTCATAGCATCCTTTGATGAATATTACATGGCTTTAAAAATATTTACAACTTGAAATACAATGGAAAAAATAAATTACATCATTGAACTTTCAAACGGCTAAATCAAAGCCTTAATTACATTCATCCAAAGATAAAATTACATTCAATATTCCTATAAGCTTCATCCATGGCCCAACCATACATCATCATTCATTCACAATTATTCATACATCATCATGTATCAATATATATCAACATATTAAATCATACATCAACATACATCAATAAAAATATACATGAATATAATTTTGGATCCATGAATGATAATTCTCATAAAATCATGATCTCTAGTAATGAATCAAACCATGCTCTGATACCACTGTTGGGAAACGTGCAAGTTTTAAAAACTTTTCGAGTGATTTTGATTCATAGATCTTGATTCATTACATAGAGACAAGTTTTATGCAAAAATAAAAATATGATGTATCATTCAATTAATGGATTGAATACTTACATCAAAGGTCTGAGTAAACCTTTAAAACTTTCCTCTAAAGTGAATGTTCTCACTTATTGTAGATCCCTTAGCAAGATGCCTTCTCCTTGGATCTCCATCTTCTTGGTAATTATTTTGCCTTTAGGAATCACTCATAAGCCTCCATGAATTACTTTGGAAAACTAGGCTTGTGGGAGCCTCGATTAGATGAGACCATAAACCCTAATTTTCTAGAGAGAGAAAATAAATTCCTTTTTCCTTCTCATTAAAAATCACCCCCTAAAATATACATAGACCATGTATATTTATAGGCAACATAAAAATAAAGAAAAGGAAACAACAAATCCTTCTCCATCTCTAATTCATATGTCTCAAATCTAATATGATTCCAATATCAAGTTGGGCTATGAGTGAGAATCCATTGGGCCTATTATTTTATTGGCTACAATGAATTAATAATTGGCCCGGTCCATGGACCCAATTCAATTAATTCATAAATTAATTTCTACTCCACTAAAAGAAATTAATTGAACTCCAATTAAATAATAAATAACCTCTAAGTCAATATTGCACTTTGACCCCTCTATGCATAATTAGTTATCGGATAAATATAGCCATCAATCCGACTACTTAATTAATATATTTATTTTGGTACCTTTGATTATTTCTGGCTCGATCACAATAAAACATTTGTTTGACAAAAATAATAATTTAAATAAATAAATATATAATAAATCATTTTGTCTAAAAACACACGAAGGCCTTCGAATTTACTTTGTGATCAACCATAATCAATACAAAATAAATACAAGTAGCAATGATGCAAATATTGAAAATATAACCCTCTAACTATTAATTACATAACTACCCAAAGTGTCGGTCTAAGGATCCCGAAGAATCCGCCGAACAAATCAAAGTAATTATTAATTAATAAAAGAGTCTATACTTTTCTCATGCTTAAGAGTCAAATGCTATGACGGTGATAGGGAGTAATTGCATACGACGGCTCTCGCAATATATCTCAACCTAACGCGGATCCAGTTCAAGTCTTAATTAATTATGAGTCCATCCATAATTACCGACTATGAACAATTTATAATTACTATTTATATATCATGCATTGATTGTCATCACATACATATATATAAATATTTCTTGTAATTAAATGGACACTATCAATTTCATAGTGAATCGAAACATAATACATTGAATTCACCAATTATATAAATCATAAATATTTCAGATATGTCAGGAACATATGTCAATACAATCCAGATAGGAATTTGCTATGCCAGGGCATATAAATCCCAACACCCATAGCATGTCTTATGTCAAGCTTGAGATTACTACTTGAGCCCTTGTATTTCATTCCTGCCCCGTGAAGCTATGTTGCAGTTGGTACCTGCACATATTGCACTTGATATGGTTTCAATGGCCTTAGAGATGATGGTAAGTAACACAACCTCAGCAAATCAACAAAATGCTTTACTCCAGAACTCGAAATTGACTCATTCATGTCACTTAAAATAATACCAGAATATGCGAAGTAGTTGATGGAAAGATGGAGGAAGGAAGAGGATCCCTGGCTAGGAGGGAAGGCTAAATCCATGAGACCCTCAAGAATAAAGAAGGGAAGTTGATTTTCAATTAAGATCATGTCTCGTTCTAAACTACTCATCCAAATTTTCCTATTTAAGTAACTGGTGTTTTGGTCGATACAGAATTTGCATCTCCAAATGACCTCAATGATGAAACTGCTATCCAAAAGAACCATTTTAACAAATTCATCACTGCTAAGCTTAATGCTTTCTGCATAATAACTTCGAGCTTTTTCTTCCCATTCCTTTGCCACCCTTATACAACTCTTCAAAGTCATGCGATCAGTCCGGTTAAGGAATGACTGAAAGTATCTGGGTTTAAACTCTTCCATGGCTTGTAAGTGTTCTTTACCACGATGAAATGGACCGATGGAAAGCTCCCCAGGTGTGTAAGCATCTTCATTTATTTCACGCATTCTCTTGGGTACTCTATAGATACAACAATCGTTTGACAGAGGAGGCAGGCCATCTATCATTTCTCTCATGGAATCAGACAGTGGGATGTCAGAATCTTCTTGAATATCAATTGAAGCATAGTCTTCTCTCTCATTCATCCCATGGCTTCTTGTATTATTGTGCCCTCTTTCCATCGATGTGATTTCCTAGTGCATTAATAGAAAAAAGCGCAATTAAGACACATTAGGCACAAAATATACTCTGGTAAATGAACTTTTTTTTTTTTTTTAGGTAAAAACTCTGGTAAATGACTTTACTACCGAGCAATTATATTATACATATAGTACTATTTCTCCAACTCAAATCTTGTTCTTAAGATTTTATTTATTTATTTATTTATTTTGTGTGTGCACGTGTGAATATACATATATATTCGTATTGCCAGATTAATATATATAAGCATATTGACTACAGTACACATCACAGTGCTACAACTTGACTAGGTTGCAGTCTTGCAGAGCTCAAGATGCAGAACATTCTTTGCAAAAGAAAAAGGAGGTTGTGCATGAATAATGGTTTTCTGTACATAGTTGAAAATCTGCAACTTAAACTAATACAAAAATTTAACTTTGATTCCATGCCTTTATTGTACAGAAATAGTAGAATGTTAAAGCAGCCAATAATTAAGAATTGGAAATACCTAATTCCAGATATTAAATCACAAATTATATATGTTATGTTTAACATTTTCCTAATGGAATATGTATTACTAGAATGAAATCAATATTCAATTTTATGCACGAAAAAAAGAAAAAAAAATCAACACCCAATTTTCCTCGTAATTATTCTGTTTAACTAGCAGAATATTAATCTGTAACAAATCAACAGTATGAAACTATGTTAACTTGGATCAAATTGTGATGTGATAAATATGAAGAGCGAGAGAGAGAGATGGAACCTGTTCTCAGAAAACAAAGCAAGGTAAAGAAAAACGATGAGAAGAAAACGCCAGAATAACTCAGCTCTCTTGAAAGATACCAATAATTAACATGCCTGAAAAATGAGTGGACGTGGTAAATCCCTCATGGTGCGATTGTGGCTTAAATGATTGTGGGGCACACTTGCTTTTGCTTTGCCATCAACTTTGGAAATCATTGATTAGCTACATTGCTCACCCATTCCAACTTATATTAATTTTACATATTTACTTTATAAATGTATTTTATTTTTTTCTTTTCACTTTCCTCTCTCAAAATGAACTCTCTTTATACTAATTTGTACTATAACATTTGCAACGACTAAACCATAAGAGCGATTTGCAAGACTAAACCATAAGAGCGATTTGGAGGGCCAAAATTAATTGCATGAATATAAAAATATAATATATTTTTACTTTAGAAATGTATTTTATATTTTTTCTTTTCACTTTCCTCGCTCAAATGGAAGCACTCTGTCACCATCCACCCATGACGATTGGGACACTGGATCGAGCAATTTGCGCCCTCCTCCGCACCCTCCAGAGTCCAGATTGAAGCCTCAGCTCCGGGTGTGGTCGATGAATACAATATAATGTCGGGATTGTTTATGCTAAACACGGCATATCAACCGCAATGATCTTCTCTGTCAAATGCTTGTTGCTTGTTTTGGGCCTTGGCATTTATGTACCCTTTTATTTGCCCTTTGGGCCTTGTTTTCTTTCAGCCCAATGCTAAAGCCCAGTGTATTTAGTCCAATTATTTATACAAGTGTCTTTTTTTTTAGTTAAAGATATATTATTTATTTATACAATTTGCTTAACCTTTTTATATTTATTCTACAAACTTGGTGGGCTTGATATTTCATAATATAATGCAAATTAAAGATTCCATTTAGATCATTAGGTATAGTATATGCCAAAAAAATGTAACAATTACTTTTCAATTGAAAGCAAATAATCTTTAAATTTGGTGAATTTTAGGTCTCATACCCTCTATTATTTAATGAAATTGGTAGTAATACTTAAGTTATTTAGTTTTCCTTATTATTTAAGCTCTCTTTTTAAGTTGTCAGAAGAATTAAGTTATTCGAATATATAGGAGAGGAATCGTGGTTGACAGAATTAAATTATTAGAATATTTACTTTGGTGGTGTTTAGCAATGCTATAGTTGCAAAATTATTTTCTAACCAGCAATTATTTTGAAAAGAAAAGGGGTTTAGATTATAAATAAATAAAATTTTCTCCACTGATACAACCCCAAACACCACCCTGATCAACCCGGCAGCACCACCAGTGCCGGATTACTTCAAGTTGTTGATATTCATGCCATGATTTTGATTGCAGTTAGCTCTTATGTTGATTTTGGGATTTGATTTTGTTGAATCCATCTCTAGGGCATGGTTGCTAGTTACTTTCTGTTTCTTCTTTTTGGGCTAAATGGGCCACAACTGTTTCTTCTCTTTGAGCTTCGGGTCTCTTTTCTGGGCCATTCTTATCCTGGGGCATACCCCTTGTAATTTGTACAGTTTGTTTTCTTTTTAATCTTACACTTACTTTTCAAAAAAAAAAAAAAAAAAACTGTTACCATTGATTGTTGGTCAGTTTTTTTTTATTCATTCATCAAATACGGAAAAAATAAATGACCATTCCTTAATATATACGAGTAGTTCACAGTCACAATCCCAACTTGTTACCATTAATCTTTTCTCCTTGGCATCAAACAAGTTAGAAACTTGAAAAGCGTCGTGAATTCGAAGCCTTGAGGTGAATTTTTTATTCTTTTTTCCCCCAGAAATTCAAACAATTATATATGGGCTATAAACTCAGTCAAAACATGGCATTGAGTGATAAACGAAGTAGACCAGAAGGTTTTAGGCCCAATCTAAGGCAAGCCTTTTGCGATAGGCCCACTGCCATTACAAATAGCCGTTATTAACGGTGACCCAGTCAACCTTAAGAAAGGATATTCAAACACTCCAATTATCTACAAAAATGTTTTCCTTTTTTTCTTCGGCTCTGTGAATTTTAAAAAATTATGTTTTACAATTCAATTCTCTGTGCTGCAGGGAAAAAATTAAAAAATAAATAAATCATACAGAATCCATTTTGCCCCAAAGGATTTGAAAAATAAGTGTGATAAATCAACCCAAAACTTGGCTTCATACATGGATCGGTACTTGCATTTTCCTCCCAAACGAAATACTATTGCCCAGAGAGAAAAATGTCAACATTTTTCTTTAGATTAAACTTTGGTTGCTTAGGATTGTTTCAACAAATTTGCAATTGCTGCAAGTTGTGAGTACAATGTGTGACAAATTTTAAATTTTGGAGTTACATATTTCACGAAGGATGTGATTAAGAAAATAGAATAAAAATGTAAAGAAACAATTTTTTCATATTTCCCTAAAATATGATAAGATATAAATAAAATAACCCTCTGAAATAAGCTGAAAAGAAATGACACATAAAATCAAACTTTTAATAATTACTTAAATATACTCAGCGATACAATTTTCTATTGGGGCTTGAATGGTCAACCTCTAATAATTGGAAAAATCAGTACAATACCGAATGAAAGACAACAACAATTTTGAAAATAAATTAGATAATATGTTAAAACTAGCTGGTAATTGGGAAAATAAATCAGTACAATACAGAATGGAAGTAGACACATGTATGCATATTGAACCTAAAGGGAGACTATAGCACATATAGTTTGTGTGAGAGTAAGTCCAAGCAGGATCACTGCAGCGATTGTAGAAGCAACACTCCATGGAGTGCTGAAATAATCACGTCCTAATGTCGCCTTCCACCTTCTTAATGTCGCCTTCCACTTCTGACATGGATCGTTGCAATAGTTATTCAGTTCTATACTTATATCACAAAAGTAATAGTTCTGACTCCATAAAGTCACGTTTGGGGTGAGTTTATTAAAGAGACTTGCCACTGCAGAACTTTCACCCAGGCAGTTCACAAAAATTCCTCTTTGGATAAGTAAATTTGCATCTTTAGCAGTGTCGATAAGATTATCCATGAAATGAATATAATCAATTATGTAACTATCATATAGATAGTGAAATTGTTCCAGTGCCATGAGGTTTAGAAAGAAGGATTCTGTCCAGGCACATATGGTCAACTGCGGGATTTCCAACTCTCCCTTGCTTCTACGTGCTATGTCAAGCAAGCAATTGCTTGAGCCCTTCCAAAACTCCATTCCTGCCTCTCGAAGCTCTGTTGCAGTGCGTATTGGCACGTATTTAACTCTACAGCGAGCTGGTGACCTTAGAGATGATGGTAAGAGACATAACCTCAACAAATCAACAAAATGCTTTATCTCACCACTTGAGAATGGCTCTTCTCTGTTACTGACAAAAAAATTAGCTTCCAAGTAATTGATGGAAAGCATGAGGAAGGGACGGGTTGTATTGTTGGGAGAAGAGATGGATAGGTTGAAGATTCTTTCAAGAACAAAGAAGGGAAGCTGATTCTCAATTAAAATCAAGTCCTGGTGAAAATCATTCATGAATATTTGCTTATCCAGGTAATCGTTTTGTTTTTCGAAATCAGAATCATTGAACCTACAAATGACCTCAATGATGAAACAACTATCCAAAAGAATCATTTCAACAAATTCATCACTAGGAAGCATAATGATTTCGGCATAATAGCTTCGAGCATCCTCTTCCAACTGCTTTACCACTCTTATACAACTCTTCAAACTCATGCCATCAGTACGATTAAGGAATGACTTCAAGTACCTGAGTTTATCCTTTTCCATGACTTGCAAGTGTTTTTTGCCACGATGAAATGGGCCGATGGAAACTATCTGGGGTGTAAATGCTTTTTCGTTTACATCACGAAGTCTCTTGGGAACTCTAAAGATACAGCAATCATTTGATAGAGGATGCAAACCATCTATCTTTTCACTAATGGAATTTAACACTGGGATGTCCTCCGGATCATTTGAAATATATTTCTCTGCTCTCTCATTCCCATGGCTGCTGCTTGTAATGTCCGTTCTTTCCATCGCGTGTTGTCCTGGTGCTTTACAACAGTAATGAAGACATATTAATTAATTGTTGCTTTATATATGCTCCATTTGGTGGTGGATGATGATGCATGAATATATAAAAATACACTACAAATTTTTAGATGTGTTTTGTCTTTCTTCCTGAATCTAACTAGTTGTTAAAATTTATTATCTTGTGTATTTATTTTTGTTTATAATTAGGTATAATGTCAACAAGTTAGCTGTAATAGGTCTGGTATTTTGCAATCTAACTCAAAAACATAAGTTGTTAAGTGGTGTACTCGTAGAGATAGTAAATCCTAAATCTTTCCTCAAAAATAATTAAAATGCAAAAAAAATAAGAGATATCGAAACAAATAAACCAAGCAATTAAGGGAAAATATATAGTGAAAGTTGTCCTAAATAGAATAAATAGCCATCCAGTATGTTTAGAGACTTCATGCATCCAGCTGGCATGTCATCATCACAATAATATTATATCCGCAGACTCCACCTAGCTTCTAAGTTCGAAGTACCCTCAGTGAATAAAATCATAAATAGTCTGTTAAAACAGTTAACCCTTATTTTTAGAAACTTGTGTTTATATCAGAGTTACAGTTGCAAAATGGGTTATTTGCTTTATCCTGATCAAACCACAGTGAAAATAGAAAAATTAGCAGCATGAAACGTATATAATTTGTCTGCATGAAACAAATAATTCTTTGACCATACATTTTATAAATCAAATTGGTAACAAGTTCATCTAGTCTTTGCAAAACCATTTTTATCTCACTAAATTAAGATTGTATGTACTGCACTCTAAAAACCAAGTTGTGTTTTTATGTGATGAAGGTAGGTCATAGAATAATACGTCCTCCATAGGAAGAAAATGTCTAATATTATAAAAAAAAACTTGATACTCGAACTGGATTTGGGCTTCAATTATTTGGTAAGGTTGTTTTTATTAAAGATCAGATCCTTGATGCTTAATTATATGGATATTACAATGCGTAGTGGAGGTTTTGGGGTTCCAATCTACAGCGATTATGTTGTGT